TATAATAGGCTACTTTTTCAAGATGTTAACTCTCTTTACACACATATGTTAAAAATGCCATATGAATAACAAGGAACAAAAGGGATTGAACCTTAAACAAATTCAAAATTTGTCATTAAGTTCTATTTTTTTCTCCTGTCAGAGAGAACCAAGAAAAAGATGGGTATCCCCCTGGCCCTGGCAACAAGACTTAACATTTTAAAAAGTTCTTGCTGGTATCACAGCACTCTCCTTTCCTTCATTTTTAAGATCCTTAATAGGACAAATTTTTTTTTTTTAAATAACAGTTTATAGTAGGGCATAAAGGCAATTACATGTCAGTTCTGTGGTATATATAATGACTGGCAACTTTTTCTAAAAGAGGATTTTTTCTTAAAGTTATACAAATATTAAATATGCCTTTAAAAACTTGGAGCATGACACTTTTTTTATATTTTTTCTTGGATATTTTATATTCTTATTTTTCAAATATATCCTAGACTCAGCTTGAATAGACTTGCCTTATTCTAAGAAAAATATTTAGAGTCTTTTTTTAAAGATTTATTTATTTAAGAGAGAGAGAGACAGAGAGAGTATGAGTGGGGGGAGGGGCAGAGGGAGAAGAAAAGGGAGAGACTCTCACGCAGACTCCCCACTGCTGAGTGAGTTGTGGATCCTGAGATCAAGACCTTGAGTCGAAACTTAACTGAGCCCCCCAGGTGCCCCAAAATATCTAGAATCTTTTTCAGATACGTCTGAAGATTAATTTAAAAAGAAGTTATATTGGTTTAATAATGATGGATCCTATCCAAAAAGTTTGTTTTAAAAATATACTTAAATCCTCTGAGGCCATATTAATATTTTAAAGGGTTTTTTTTCTCCCATACACATCAGATACTTTTTTCTTTATGGTTTTGTTTCTACTCTTACCATCTTCCATTTTATTTTTCAGCTGATTGTGGTTTAGATAGAGAATGCTATCGGTTTTTGTGTAAATTGTGTGTCCATATTGGATTCAGTTGTTATTTCTCTTCAGCTGCCCACACACATAACTATATCATCTAGATATCATAATTTTGCATGTACCTTCCCAGTTTTTATCTTCCATTTTTTTCTCTTTCTTTCTTATATGCCTAGGCATATAGTATTACAGTAAATAAATGTGGTAGCATGGGCGATCTGGTTGTGTTCCTGACTTTGGTGGGAATGTGTCTCATTTTCCCTAGTAAACATGGTGCGGGCTTTTAGCTTATTATGTGTGGAAAAATTGTAACAATATCGTGTTAATAAAGTGTCCTTTTACTCCTATTTTATAGATAGATTCTTTTAAAGTCTGAAGTTCTGGGGCGCCTGGGTGGCTCAGTCGTTAAGCGTCTGCCTTCGGCTCAGGTCATGGTCCCAGGGTCCTGGGGTTGCACCCGCATTGGGCTCCCTGCTCCACAGAAAGCCTGCTTCTCCCTCTCCCACTCCCCCTGCTGGTGTTCCCTCTCTTGCTATATCTCTCTCTGTCAAACAAATAAATAAAATCTTTTAAAATAAATAAATAAATAAATAAAATCTGAAGTTCTGATTTTTAAAAAAATTAGCAGCTCTATGAAGCTGATTATCTTTTTTTCTTGAATATGATGAGTTATATTAATAGATTCCCTTAACTTGAAACATCTTTGTGATAGAAAAAAAACTGCACTCAATTCTTCTCCAATTAGTCTATAAATTCTTTGCAATTCCAGGTAAAATCCCAACCGGATTTTTATTCCTTTAGAACGACATAAATTGATTCTAAAATTCAAATAGAACCATAGGGGTCTCAAAGTAGCTAAGAAATTTCTGAATGACTAGGAACAACATGTGTGTGGTGGGAAGTGGGGAAATCCTTGCCTAAGCAACAGGGTTATTTTAAAGTTACAGTAATTAAAACAATGTAAACACACACACATACACACACACAGAGTACAGTACTGGTACAGATGTAGACAAATAGATTAAAGGAACAGAATAAAGAGCCTAGAAACAATTAAGCATGCACATGATAAAGGTGGCATCACAAAAGAAATATCTATTTAACAACAGTGTTGGAACAACTGGTCTTCTACATGTAAAAATAATCCTAGTGATAGAATTACCAGTAAATTCCTACCTAAAGGGGCACCTGGGTGGCTCAGTTGGTTGAGTGACTGCCTTCGGCTCAGGTCATGATCCTGGAGTCCCGGGATTGAGTCCCATGTCAGGCTCCCTGCTCGGCAGGGAGTCTGCTTCTCCCTCTGACCCTCCCCCCTCTCATGTTCTCTCTCTCTCTCTCTCTCTCTCAAATAAATAAATAAATAAATAAATAAAATCTTAAAAAAAAAAATTCCTACCTAAAATCAATTACAAAATTAAATTCCAATTGGACTAAAGACTAAATATGAAAAACAAAGTTTTGAAAATAGACTATTTCTATAATCTAATATTATGAAAGATGTCTTAGAAAAGACCACCACTGGCAACTCATGAAAGGACTATTAAATATTGATGCTGTATATTAATGTTGACTGAATTTTTATTGTATGCACATATGTATCATATGCTAAATATAACTATCCAAATTTAAAATGCCTATACAACAAAAGATATATAACAACATAAAAGTGGCAGATTAGGAAAAGGTATCTATAGAAATCCTAATGACAAAGAAGCCATTCTTAAAATTCCCTAAATTCAAGTAGAAAAAGGACTAACAATACAAAATAAATAATATGAACAGTCAATTGTCAAAATTAGGAGTGGGCTTCAATCTGTATAGTATCATAGTGTAGTCCGAGAGTCAGGCTGTATGGGTTTGAATTCCGGCTTTATTACACACTTCATGCATGAAGTTATGTCCGCTTCTTAACCTCTGTGCTTTATTTCCCTTCTTTGTAAAAATTAAAATAAGATCTACTTTACAAGCTTCTGATAATGATTACATGAAATAAGCTATGTGAAGTTTATAGCATAATACACCTGGCACATAAAAAGTACTCAATAAAGCTATTATTGTAGGAAATTTTTCTAGCTGCTTTTCTACCTGTAGTCTATTCACATATAAAAGCTGCCATGGACTATATTTATATCCATATTCTAGAATGAATTTGGGACTGCAAGTCCAGGAACGGAGGCAGTCCATTTCTATTTGATAGTCCAAAACATCTGGCTCTCATATCTGACAGGAACTGTTACGAATTTTTTGACAGCTAAGAGTATCCCATTTGTAGATCATAACTCCTTGATCTCCAGCTTTTTACTATATAAAGAAAATGCATGTGTGAACTAATTATTTGGAATCCTCTTATAAAAGATGGTCATTACCCACCAATTTAAAATACACTTAAAAAAATCTATCTGCAAATCTGAATGGTCTGTTTCTTTTTGACATTAGTATTAAACATTTTTTTAAAGATTTTATTTATTTGACAGAGAGAGAGAGCGAGAGCAGGAACACAAGCAGGGCGGTGGGAGAGGGAGAAGCAGGCTTCTGGCCAAGCAGGGAACCCAATGTGGGACTCAGTCCCAGGACCCTGGGATCACAACCTGAGCCGAAGGCAAACGCTTAACAACTGAGCCACCCAGACGCCTCTTGACATTAGTATTTTAAAATATTTACTGGCCACTTTTATTTCTTCCAACTGCCTCTTCATGTTCTTCACACAATTTTCTATTTTCTTAATTACTGGTTTTTAAGAATTGTTGATATATTTATGCTATATGTATTACAAAAAATGTTCCCAGTTTTGCCTTATTACAGTGTTTATTGTAGTTTTACTGAAGAGAAGGATTAATTATATGAACCCAAATCAGGCATCTTCTCTTTTATCTCATTGGTTTCATATGTTAAACTAAAAAGGCAAGTCAATGAATATAGCCAACATATCCCAAGGTCTTTTCAGGTAGGAAGGATTTCTATAGCTAACAATTATTAACAATATTTATCATTTATGGAGCACTTAGTATGTGCATTTAACCCTCCTATTATTCCTATGGGATAAGTATGATTATTATCCCCATTTACAAACAATGTAACTGAGGCTAAAGAGATTAAACCTGCCATAATCATGCACTTAGTAAGTTGCTGGGCCAAGATTTGAACCCAAGCCTCTGTAGGCCTAGAGAAGCAAACAGGAGAAATAACCACACAAACCATAGTATCATACATCCAAAAGAAGTGTGTTTGTGTGTTTCAGGACGGGAAATAAGAACTGAGGAAAAGCGGTAGCGAAGTGGAAAATATTTAAACTACAGGGTGTGAGGGATTCCAGAGTTGGAAACAAAAAGAATCAAGAGCAAGGGAGAATGAGTCATTTTGCAAGAAGACAAAGAATACTGCATCTTCTAAGGCCATTAAAAAAAAAAAAAAAAGATGTGGAAAGCTGTGGATATAAGAACTGTAAGATTTTTCCATAGAATGCTAGTATATTTTAGTTCAATTTGATAAATCTCTATCAAAGAAAATATATATGTAGGGTCATTTGAAAGATGTGTTCCATTTACTCTTCCAGATAATTTTAGTTTTTAATCTTTGGCCAGGACAGACTTTAAAAAAAAAAAAAAACTGAGCTTAAAATTATAAGAATTATGGAATTATTCTGAATTTCTTTTTTACCTAGGTGCCAATGAAAAGCTTTCTTGATCTTGGGGTTGTAAGTTCGAGCCCCACTTTGGGTATAGTGATTACTTTTAAAAAATCTTTGAAAAGTTTTCTCTTTCCTTAATTATTAGCTTTTTCCTCATAAACAGGATAAATTATGGAATATATGGAATAAACTTTGTGTCCCAGGTTACTTTTGTCTCTTCAGCTCACATTCAGATTGAATTCAACGTAATAACTTTGTACGGACCTATTTCTGCACAGCCACATCCCAAATTTCACCTGGTTCTGATCTTCTATTTTTCCTTACCTTGATTTTCATCAATTTTGTTTTTTCCAATTTACTGGTAGGTTAAGGTAACCCCCTGCAACTGCAATGCAAAATAATGCAGCAAACAAATAAACACTTAAAACGTACAAGAGACCTGGTCATATCCTCTTCTTCCTCCAAAAGGCCAGAGTCCTGAGAATGCCAAGCTGAGGGAAGAGAAATAAAGCAGATTTATTTCAGAGCTCCAGACAAAGGCCTATAGAAATCTTCAGTACCAGGTGGCTATAATATCATCTATAATGATCCTCAGAGCACTGAGAAATGCTAACCACCACCAGGCAATAGAGATGCTGAAATGTATGTGAAAGACTAATGTTACCATACAGGGTCCGATGAGAATTTCTGGAGGGCTAAGTGTAGGGTGCCCAGTGAATCTATTGACAATATAAGCTTTCCCTAGGATCTTGTTATTTTATTCTTAATAGAAAATTTATCTCAAGTACATAATAATAAATACTACAAAGATTTAAGAATTATTTTATGAAACACTATAAAAAATATGGAAAAACTTTAATCAGGGGCAGGTTTAGGCATTGTGAACCATTTATATGATGGAATAAAATGCAGTCATGATTCTAAAACTGAGGGTTGCTGGAGTGGTGGGGATTGGGAGGGATGGGGTAGCTGGGTGACAGACATTGGGGAGGGTATGTGCTATGGTGAGTGCTGTGAAGTGTGCAAGACTGTTGAATCACAGATCTGTACCTCTGAAGCAAATAATACAGTGTATGTTAAAAAAAAAAAAGAAGAAGAAGAAGATAGCAGGAGGGGAAGAATGAATGGGGGGGAAATCGGAGGGGGAGATGAACCATGAGAGA